AATATCTCAAGAGGAATGTCATGTGGAGTTATTTCTTTTCTTTTTCATGGAAAAATTGTTTGTGGTTTGGTTTCTTTGGCTCTTCAGGCTCATTTCCTGTAGCTGTAGGAGGCTGAATGCAGGTAGGCTCACCTGGTATGAGACATTAACTCAACACCTTAGTTTGTTAAATGTTCTGATGCCAAGAATCATTGCTAGCTGTTTATTTATTTTTAAGTCTCCACTGAGGTGATAGGTAGGACATGGATTTACTGAGATTGAAGCACTTAAAGATACTGTGCAGCTTCTTGGGAAGATGGCAATGGGAAATGCTAAGGAGAGGAGTTAAAGGAAGTACTGTTCTGGTGGTAGAGGCCCTGTGGCCTCCCCTCACCCCATGATTTCACTGTTAGTGCAGAGGGACCCCAGTGAGACCTTACTGAATTCAATTTGGAAGAGGGATATGTATTTTCTTGAGTAAGGAATGTCTGTAGGGTGGAGTTCAGGCAGTTTTACTCTCAGCTTGGGCCCTGGGATGAAATAGGGCTTACAGACAAAGATCTCTTTGAACTAAAATGACTTACAGGGGTGGCCAAGAAGAAATGAAATGAGTGTACCAAACCTGAACAAGGACATGAGTGTTGTCCTAGTTGAGGGTGGACTGGGTGAATGATCAAGCTGAGTAGAGCCCTATTCTGGGCTTTAAAAAATATTGAGGCATGTGAGATGTTTGTATATGTAGAGAATAAACAGGATCTGAAGAGAATTCTTAAGAGGAATTCTTAAAATTGTGTTAAACCACAATAACACTGTAGAAGAATAGTACGCCTCCGAGGTGAAAATGAAGCAATGTTCTTTTGTATGAATAAATGTGGGTATTTGTTTAAACAGTGTCAGGACTTGGTAATTACCCAGTACATGATTTGATTCCTAAGGATTTACCCATCAGCACTGGATTGTGAACCACAAGATCGGCAGTTCAAACCCGCCAGCTGCTCCTCAGAAACCCTATGCAGGGTTGCTATGAGTCAGAACTGACTCGGCGACACTTAACAATATTAAAAAGGGGTCCCAGTGTGGCACTGTAACATAAGCACAGGACTGCTAACTGCAAGGGTGGCAGTCCAAATCCACCAGCTGATTCCCAGAAGCCCTGTGCAGGATCGCTATGAGCCAGAAAAGACTGGAGGCACTTAACAACAACAATGTTAAAAGTAATAGTCCTTTGGTGTTACTGTAAGGTAAACACTGGAATGCAAGGTCAGTTTGAACTGCAAAGTCGGCAGTTCAACCCACTCAACGACAATGAACACATACCTATGGATCCCTGGTAGTGTAGTGGCTACCAGTTGGACTGCTAACCACAAGGTCACCAGTTTGAATCTACCAGTTGCTACGCAGGAGAAAGATGAGACTTTTTGCTCCCATAAAGATTCCTAGCCTTGGAAACCCTATGCAGGGTTACTATAAGCTGGAACTGACTCCACAGTACACAGCCACCACCACCACCAAACTTCACACACTAATTAATGGGATATCATAAAGGTACGAAGGAAAAAATTGTAGAAGGCTTCTGAAATTGTAGGGTATCACCCTTGAATGGAAATTTGTCCAAACCTGGACAATTTTGTATCTGCAGTATAAATCAATAACTGTTGCCATCAAGTCAGTTCTGACCCACATGACCCTTAAAGGACAGAATAGAACTGCCCCATAGGGTTTCTAAGGTTGTATAATGCCTCCCCATTGATTGGTAAATTGTAGAGGAATTACTATAGCAGGTTACATTGCACCTAGACGGTCTAGTCTCCCCAAGGTATATAGAACTTTCTCCTCTCTACCCCATGATTTAACCAATAATTTCAGTTTGCTAAACACAGTACTTGTCTTTCTTATCTTGAAGGTATGGCTTGTACTGAGATAAATGGTGTGAGGGCGATACCCTCACAGAATCAGATTGGTAAATATCACAAAAATATAGCGGACAAATGTTTGACGTTGAACGCTACCTTATACTATATACAAAAAATAAACTTATAGAGGATCAGAGTAAAAAATATAACACTTAAAAGAAAATGTAGGTATAAATCTTTGTGAGCTTGGATTAGACAAGCATTTTAGATATGACACCTCAAGCACAAACAATGAAAGAAAAAATAAATCAGACTTCACCAGAATTAAAAGGAATCCTGGTGTGGCGCTGTAGGCTAATGCATCAGACTGCAAAGTTGTTTGAACTGCAAATTCGGTGGTTCAAGCTCACCAGCTGCTCCTTGGAAACCCTATACAGGGTCACTGTGGGTTTGAATCGACTCAACGGTACTTCACAACAACAGAATTTAAAACTCCTGTGCTTCAAAGGACAGTGTCAAGAAGGTAAAAAGACAACCCATAAATTTGAGAAACTATTTGCAAATCATATGTCAAATATGAAACTGGTGTCCAGAATATGTAAAAAATTGTTATAACAGTTTAAAAGACAAATAATTAAGCTAAAAAGGGGCAAATAATTGAAGACATTTCTTGAAAGAAAGTACGTAAATGACCAGTAAGTACATGAAAAGAAAGATACTCAACATCATTTATCATTGCTGTTTTTAAGTGCTGTCAAGTTGGTTCTGATTCATAGTGATCCAGTATAGGGTTTCCAAGAAGTGATTGATGGATTTGAACAGCTGGACCTTGTGGTTAGCAGCCCAGTGCCACACCAGAATTCATTCATCATTGTTAAGTGCTGCTATATTGAGTCGATTCTGACTTATAGCGACCCTCTACAGGGTTTCCAAGGAGCAGCTAGTGAGTTTGAACCGCTGACCTTGTGGTTAGTGGTTCAGTGCTGATCCTTTAGTATTACACCAGGATTCCCATTTATCAATGTTGTTGTTAAGTGCCGTGGAGTCGGTTCCGACTCACAGCGACCCTGCATAGGGTTTTCAAGGCTGTAAATCTGTCTCCCACGGAACAGCTGGTAGTTTTGAACTGCTGACCTTGCGGTTCGCAGCCCAATTCGTAACCACTACGCTACCAGAGCTCTGGTAGCGTAGTGGTTACGAATTGGGCTGCGAACCTTAAGGTCAGCGGTTTGAAACTACCAGCCGCTCCGCGGGAGAAAGATGAGGCTTTCTACTCCCATAAGGATTTACACCCTCGGAAACCCTGTACAGGGTCGCTATGGGTCGGAACCGACTCGATGGCACTTAACAACAACAACAACAATGCTACCAGAACTCCATAAAGATTGCAGCCTTGAAAACCCTGTGAGGCAGTTCTAGTCTGCTGTATAGGGTTGCTATGAGTCAGAATCCACTCTCTGGTAATGAGTATATGGATAAGATGTATATAATAGAAAAGGTAGGCAATAAGAAGTGTTGGCAAGGATGTGAAGAAATTGGATATATTCTTGGTACGAGTGAAAAGTGGTGCAGCTGCTTTGGGAAACAGTTTTGGGATTCCTCAAAAGGCTAACCAGTTACTATATTGTTATGGTTGTTAAGTGCTGTTGAATCAGTTCTGACTCATTGCAACCCTGTATAGGAGCGGCTGGTGTGTTTGACCCACTGACCTTGCAGTTCAAACCCACCTTGCAGTCTAGTGCATTAACCTACAGCACCACATGAGGGCTCCATTTCTGTTCCTAGTTGTTGTTGTTGTTGTTGTCAGGTGCCATCGAGTCGGAACCAACTCATAGCGACCCCATGCACAGCAGAACGAAACAATGTCCGATCCTGGGCCAACCTCACTACTGCTGCCACACTTGAGTCCATCAATGATGCCACCTGGCCAATCCAGCTCGTTAGAGGTCTTCCTCTTTTTCTCCAACCCTCTATCTTACCAAGCATGATATCCTTCTCCAGCGACAGTTCCCTCCTGACAATATGTCCAAAGTATGAGAGATGAAGTTTAGCCATCTTGGCCTCCAAGGAGCACTCTGGTTGCACTTCTTCCAAAACAGATCTATTGGTTCTTTTGGCAGCCCATGGCACTTTTAGTATTCTCCTCTAACACCACAACTCAAAGGCATCAATTCTTGTATGATCTTCCTTATTCACTGTCCAGCTTTCACATCCATATGAGGTTATTGAAAATGTCATAGCTTGGGTCAGGCACACCTTAGTCCTCAATGTGACATCTTTGCTCTTCAACACTTTAAAAAGTTCCTGTGCAGCAGATTTGCCTAATGCAATATCTGCTCCTAGGGATGTACCTAAAAGAGTGGAAAACCTATGTCTACACAGAAAGTTGTACATGGCTCTTCAAATAGTTCCAAAGTAGAAACAACCCAAAGAACTATCAATTGCTGAGCAGATGAATTAAAGTACTGTATCTATAAAGTGGAGCATCATTTAACCATTAAAAGGAATGGAGGGCTGACACATGTTACAGGCTCATTAGCTTAGAAAGTTGTATGCTAAGTGAAAGAAACCAGAAACAAAAGAAGACATACTGTATGATTTCATTTATGCCAAATGTTCAGAAGAAACAAATCCACAGAAACAGAAAGCAGATTAGTAGTTGCCAGGGTCTGAGGGGAGGGGGAATGAGGAGTGCCTGCTAATAGGTACAGGGTTCTTTTTTGGGGTGACGAAAATGTTCTGGAATTATATAGCAGTTGTATAATTTTGTATTCGCAAAGTTTGTTGTTATATTACTAAAAACAACAACAACAACAAAATCACTGAATTATACTCTTTAAAAGAGTGAATTTTTATGGTCTGAGAATTCTATCTTGATAAAATAAAGCAAAACAAAAACTAAATAAAAAAGCTGTATCTGCCCTTCTGAAAAAGCAGGAAACAAAGTCACCATTTACCACTGAAAAATATTAATAACAGGAGGACATTTAGTCAAATTGATTTTGAGTCTGGGCACCAGGGGGAACTCCCAAGTGCGTTTCCTCTTTATTTCTTTATCTTCTCCTCAACTCTCCCTTAAGTTTAGCAGCAGAAAGAAGTGATCAGTTCAGTGGGGAGAGCAAAAAACATTGTACTTCTGTCTCAATTTTGAGGTCACTGTTCCGTGTCATGACCTGTCAAACATACCAGAGGTACCACATGTGTTACAAAATAACAACATTTGATAATGATGTCCCTCTGCACACTGGCTTTATTAGTTTTGTTCAGTGCTTTGCCATTCTCTGGCTGAGTTAGTTTTTTTGTTTGGTTTTGTTACTTCTGCTTATTTATTTATTTAGATAGAAAATCCTCACAGTTAGCAAAGTGAGATCCCACTGAGACCTAACCCTAGAGGAACATGCTGTCATTGCTTCCAAAACTTTGTGATTTCTAGTTAATATGCATGTGTCCATCTGACACTCGACTCTTTAACCCATCATCAACCTTAATTCCAGCATGTCCACCTTTCATTTTATTGATACCATATATATCTACAAATAGATGGGGGTTCAAGTAGGAGTTTGAGGACCTGTCTTTTCTTTTTTTTTGAATGTTACATTTCTATGCTTTGTGTACATTCTCATATTAGTCACACTCATCTCCTCCAAAACTTCCCAATTCTGGCTTAAAAGTTGAGAATTGAAAAGGGTATCAATGGTGTTCTTTTGTTCTACCCACAATTCCCAGAGTTTTGTTCCCCTTTTTCTAATCTGAGCTTTCTTTTCCAGATGTTTCTGTGGCATTTCTGCTACACCCCATTTTTCTTTCTGTTTTCTGGCAAGAACACTTCCCGTTGCATCACATTGGGAGGAAATACTGTCTGGTTGCCCAGTGTCTGTGATGTGAAGACTGATCAGAAGGTGTTGCTGTAGAGACTGAGCCTTTCTCAGCAAATTCCCCATTAACCCTTCATGTCATACTCTTAGCAATCCTTGATGATCTTGCAAAATAAAGGTTTTCTAATTACATCATTCTTTCTGCATTTATTAGTTGTGTTTCTGTAATGTTATTAATTTTCTGTCAGTTATTTGGTCATACTGAAATAGAGTTTCAATAGAAAAATAGGATACATTCTTTAGTCTTTCCTTTTATTTAGCAGTTTTCTGAATAAGGGACTGAGTAGGACTCTAACAACCTCCATTGGTACTTGGCTAGTGAGTTTTTTTCTAAGAACTTTTTTTGGGGGGCAGAAGGATGGCAGGAGGGGAGTTAGGATAGGGTGAGTTTGGAGGTAGATCTTAGGAACTAATTATGAATGCATTCTTAATGTCTAAAAATAGTGTATATAGTTGCTATATTTGAATCAGTTGCACTCATTATTCTTTTTGATATTCAAATGGCCCCCTCTTTGGCCAGTGGAGGCACTTTCCAGTGGGCTTCTGTGTCTTTTTGACACCACCCCATTGGTCTGAACCAGTAACTTCTGGGCAACAATGTCCTCCTCTTTAAGTAACTGGGCTAGTTGGTCTTTAAGATTTCTTCTAGTTCTAGATTCTTTTCCTTTTCTCTGATGCTGTATTTTAATACTCAATAATTAAATCTCTTGTCCTAAAAATGATTTGACTTTTTCTTCTTTAAAACACAAACAGTGGGTGCTATAATGCATTTGAAACTATAAAATCTCTTTATTTCTCTCTGTGAGATGATCTTTTAACTTCTGTCTAGGTGATGCTGGCTCAGCACAGCTCCACTCTCTAAGCTCAGTCTCTAGGTAGAAAAAGCAAAGCAAAACAAAGCAGAAATGATCTAAGCGTTTCCATACTTACGGCTGTAAAGAGGCTTACCAGGGAGATCCCTGATTTTGAGGACAGATTGGTTTTGAAATATACTCAGTTCGGCTGTGTAGTTATTATTCCAACTGTGGTATTTTTCTTACCCTCTAGGTGTGTTACCAGGCAGGGAGAAGGGACAGAGTCATTCATCCTTAGGGTTGTAAAGGCAGAATGGTGAGCTAAGGAGGGTCTGAGGCACCCCAGTGAGCTGGTCAGGAGAGCCCAGAAGGCTGCATAGCTGGCCAGGGCTTACCAGATGGCTGCAGAGAGGCCTACCTCAGTTCCTACAAACTGGGAGCTGGAGCCAGTCCATCCAAGCAGTGCCTGAATCCCATCCAGGCAACTGGGCCAAGTCCCTGAGGCTGTCTCTGAGACCAGAAGGTACAACTAGAAGGAAATGTGGATTTAAATTCCAAGGCATAAGAGGAATGCTCACAGTATCTAAGAAGGAACTGAAAATGACTTTCGTAGATTCTTGAAGGACACCATCTCATACCAAAACATATATAATACATTTTTTTAAAGGCTTGATACTTACTTCCATCTGTGCCCTGTGGAGCACATGTTAACTTCAAAGGCAGTTCCGTAGGGTGCAGGCAGGAAAGACATGCTTTTATTTCTAATGTTGGCACAATTCCACCAAACTATTTTTGATGGCCAGGAGACAAACCTTACATTCCCTCTAAACTCGTGTGTGTTTAGCAGGTTGATGGTGGTGTTGTTAGGTGTTGTTGAGTTGGTTCTGACTTTTAGCAACCCGCTGTACAACAGAACTAAACACTGCCCCATCCTGTACCGTTGTCACAGTTGTTGCCATGTTAGAACCATTGTTGCAGCTTTGGTGTCAATCCATTGAGGGTCTTCCTCTTTTTTCGCTGACCCTCTACTTTACCAAGCATGATGTCCTTCTCCAGGAACTGGTTCCTTCTGATAACAACTCCAATGTATATGAGACAAAGTCTCTCTATCCTCGCTTACAAGGAACATTCTGGCAGTCCTTCTTCCAAAACAGATTTGTTTGTTCTGCACTATAATTTCAATATTCTTCACCAACACCATAATTCAAAGATATCAATACTTCTTCAGCCTTCTTTATTCATTGTCTAGCTTTCATATGCCTAAGAGATGTCCCATATGTTGCCATAGCTTGGGTCAGGCACATCTTAGTCCTCAAAGTGACATCTTTGCTTTTTAACACTTTTACAATAAATTTATCCAGTGTAATACATAATTGGATTTCTTGATTGCTGCTTCTGTCGGTGTCAGTTGTGGATCCTAATAAAATGAAATCCCTGACAACTTCAGTATTTTCTCTGTTTATCATAATGTTGTTTATTGGTTTAGTTGTGAGGATTTTTGTTTTCTTTATGTTAAAGTGTAATCTATACCGAAGGCTGTAGCCTTTAATCTTTATCAATAAGTGCTTTTAAGTTCACTTAATTTTCACCAAGCAAGATTGTGTTATCTGCATATCACAGATTGTTAGTGAATCTTTTTCCTATTCTGATGCCACTTTCATCTTCATTATAGTCCAACGTTTCAGATTATTTACGCAGCATACAGATTGAATAAGTATACAACGTTGATTTATACCGTTTCTGATTTTAAGTCAGGCATTATCCCCTTGTTCTGTTTGAATGACTGCTTCTTTGTCTATGTACAGGTTTCACATGAGCACAATTAAGCGTTCCTGGAATTCCCATTCTTTGCAATGCTATCCATAATTTGTTACAGTAAAGTGCCTTTGTACAGTCAGCAAAACATAGGTAAATGTCTTTCTAATAGTCTCTTGCTTTAAGCCAAGTTCTATTTGACATTAGCAGTGATATCCATCTTTCTGTATCTTCTTCTGAATCTGGCTTGAATTTATGGTGGTTTTGAATTATCTTTAAACTTTACTTGCATGTGATATTAATATTGTTCTTGTATGCCGTTGTGTGGGCCCCATCCAGTGATTGGTGTTGTTGCTGTTGTTAAGTGCTGTCGAGTCGGTTCCGACCCATAGCGACCCTGAACAGGGTTTCCAAAGCTGCAAATCTTTACAGGAGTAGAAAGTCTCATCTTTCTCCCGTGGAACAGCTGGTAGTGTTGAACTGCTGACCTTGTGGTTCGCAGCCCAATTCGTAACCACTTTGCTACCAGAGTTCCTTCTCCTGACAATATGTCTGAAGTTTGAAAGGTGAAGTCTGGTCATCCTGGCTTCCAAGAAGTATTCTAGCTGTATTTCTTCCAACACAGATTGGTTTGGTCTTTTGTCCATGGTACTTTCAATATTCTTCTCCAACACCACCACTCAAATTCATCAATTCTTCTATGGTCTTCCTTATTCACTGTCCAGCTTTCACATGCATATGAGGTTATTGAAAATACCATGGCTTGTGTCAGGTGCACCTTAGTCCTCAAATTGACATTTTTTGCTCTTCAACGCTTTAAAGATGTCTTGTGCAGCAGATTTGCCTAATGCAATACATCATTTGATTTCTTAACTGCTGCTTCCATGAGTGTTGATGGTTGATCCAAGCAAAATGAAGGCATTGACAAATTCAATGTTTTCTCCATTTATCTTGATATTATTTACTGACCCAGTGGTAAGGATTTTTGTTTTCTTTACATTGAGGTACAACCGGTACCGAAAGCTGTGATCTTTGATCTTCATCAATAAGTATTTTAAGTCCTCTTGCCTTTCAGCAAGCAAGGTTGTATCATCTGCATATCACAGTTTGTTAATAAGTCTTCCTTCAATCCTGATGCCACCTTCTTCTTCATATAATCCAACTCCTCAGATTATTTGCTCAGCATACAAATTGAATGAGTATGGTGAAAAATACAACCCTGACACACACCTTTCCTAATTTTAAACCATTTGGTGTTCCCTTGTTCTGTTCAAACAAGTTCCTGTTGATCTATGTATAAGTTCCTTATGAGCACAATTAAGTGTTCCAGAATACTCATACTTCGCGATGTTGTCCATAGCTTGTCATGATCGACACAATCGAAAACCTTTGCTTATTCAATAAAGCACAAGTAGACATCTTTCTGGTATTCTCTTCTTTCAGCCAAGATTCATCTGACGTCAGCAATAATATCCCTCATTCCACATCCTCTTCTGAAATCAGCTTGAACCTCTGAAAGTCCTGTGTTAATGTATGATTGCAGTTGTTTCTGAAGTTAGCAGTCCAGTGCTTATCCTACAGTGCCTCATCAGGACTTCTTGAGTATATCCCACCTGAATTTAGAGACCATCTCAAGAACAGATTTAATGCATTGAACACTAATGACTGAAAACAGATTAGTTGTGGGTTAACATCAAGGATGTCATACATGAAGAAACCAAAAGTTCATTCCCAAGACAAGAAACAGTGTGGAGATTGCAATCAATGTCACAAAACAAACTGTGCATAAATTTGTTGAAAAACAAATCAATTTTCTCTGCAAATGTTTATCCAAATCACAACAAAAATTAAAAATAAAATAAAGACAGGAAAGGAAAAAAAAAGCCTCAAAAAGATGTCAGAAGAGTCTGAAAATTGCTCTTGAATGAAAACAACTGGAAGAAAGATGTAAAAGAGCTGTACAGATGATTTCAAAGGGCGGCTTGAGAAGATAAAGTATTATAATAAAATGTGCAAAGACCTGGAGTTAGAAAACCAAAAGGGATGAACACACTTGGCATTTCTCAAGCTTAAAGAATTGAAGGAAAACTTCAAGTCTCAAGTTACAATACTGAAGGATTCTATTGGCAAGATACTGACAATGCAGAAGGCATCAAAAGAAGATGGAAGCAATATACAGAGTCACTGTATCATAAAGAATAGGTCACCGTTCATTCATTTCAAGAGGTAGCATATGATCAGGAACCAATGGTACTGAAGGAAGAAGTCCAAACTACACTGAACGCATGGGCCAAAACAAAAACAAAAACAAAAAACAGCCTCCAGGAACTGACAGTACCAAAAATGCAGATGCAAGCCTGGAAGAGCTCACGCATGTAAACCAAGAAATTTGGAAGTCAGTTACCTGGACAAATGACTGGATGAGATCCCTATTTGTGACTACTACTACAAAAAAAAAAAAAAAAAAAAAGTGATCCAGCAGAATGAGGAAATTACCAAGTAATATAGTCCTGGTGTCGGACCTGGTGTGGCACTGTAGGATAAACACTGGACTGGTAACCACAAGGCCAGTGGTTCAGCCCTACCAGATGCTCTCAAAAACCCCTGAGCCTGTTTGGCCTGGTAGTCTGTGTTGTTGGTGACGGAGCTCCTCATTGCACATCTACCCGATCTGCCATCTTGATTGTTGTTGGTTTTACATAATTCTAACGTGCAATTTTTAGGCATTGTTTCTCTCACTGAGGCCATATTTTCCACCTACTGATCTTTCTTTGAGAACATAGGTGATGCTGTAGGATAAACTGAACCGTTAGCCACAAGGTTGGCAATTCAAACCCACCAGTCTCTCTGCGCGAGAAAGATGAGACTTTCTGCTCCCATAAAGATTTTTAGTCTGGGAAACCCTGTCTAGTTTTTAATGAAGTAGATCTCTATTTCCTTCTTTCTTCCTAGTCTGTCTTAGTCTAGAAACTCTGCTGAAATCTGTCTATTACTATTAATCTTACTGGTATTTGAAATACCAGTGGCATAGCTTCCAGCATTACAGTAACATACAAGCCATCACAGTATGACAAACTGACAGATGAGTTTTAGATTTAGCACATAGAGCTTTGTTTTTCTACTCTGACGATTTCCTCCTCTTCAGCCTTTATTTTTCCTTGCTTTGATGCTTTATTTTTTAGGAAAGGGAGACAAGGGTGATGCTAGATTATTTCAAATTTAGTAGTTAACCCCAGACTCAACCTCATATTTTCTTCCCATCATAATAAATGTCTTCTGAATTTTAAACACTCGTTTGTAAGACTGTTTAAAACATTAAATACCCTCTTAATGGAATTTTTATGTTGTAAGAATGATCTCTTGATTTGATTTCAATATGATGAGACCCCTTGGTGGTGAGAGAGTATAGCTTCCATTAGTTGTGTATACATAGTGGCTGTGTGTGTGTAAACTTCTAGAAACCTACCCAAAGAAAAAGCCTGCCACTCCAAGCTCCAAATCCATTGCCATCAGATAAGTTTCAACTCAGAGGCTCTAAATCTTTACTGTAAAAAGAGCAGACAGCTTCATCTTTCTTCTGTGGAGTGACTGGTGAGATTGAACCTTGCAGTAAGCAGTCCAATGAGTAACTCACAGTGCCAGCGGAAGTTACAGATACAGAGGTTGCTTTCACAGAATCAGTGTGTCCTTTATCAACAGAAGGCTCTTCTGTATGTCATGTTTTCATGGTGAGTTTCTGTGTCATTTTAAAGGCCTTTGTGGTAGTTGTTGCCTGAGGTCCTCTGTTATTCCTCCACACCCACACTTTAGTGGGAATTGACTCAAGCTATGCTATTTTTCTTTCTGATCATTTTTATTACTCTCCC